GTGATTTTATAACTTTTAAAGGTCATTTTACAATAACAAAAAAAAAAATATAACTTTTAAAGTAAAATATTACAATATTTATGATTAAAATTACAATTTTTGTAGATTATTTATAATTTTGTGGGCTACTTGAGAATACTAAGAGGAGTATGTTATGCAACTTCATTCATTCTTTTCTTTGGTTACTTTTGAAATGTAAAGTTACAATTTACTTGAGAAAGTTCACTATCGAACATGAAATACAATGAATTTCGGTTTTTATGGAAACTTTTCTTAAAACAACTCATACTCTTTCTTTTTTTTTTTTTTTTTGATAAATAAAACAACTCATACTTGAATGACTGATTTTAGGAATCTTCCTCCCATTTCCTATAGAGTTTCATTACAATACCAAAAACATCATTTCTTGATATTGTACTTTCACTTCCTCTTGGACTTCACTTGTTCTGAACTTTTCCTGGGAATTGCAAAAGAGTTTCCCTCTCTCTCTCTCACACACACACACACTTTTTTCAGGTCTTTGGGTTTTTTTTTGTTGGGGTGGCGGCATTGCATAAGCAATTCCTTCAGAATTCAATGTGAGGTGATAACAATGTACAACAATTACTAGACTGTTCTAGGTTTTTCTTCTGCAAAAATATTAGAAAGACAATTTATCTCCTAAAATTATTAAGTACTTGTAGTTTATTCATGAAAGACAATTGTAACCTACTTTATTATATTGATTATCAAGTCTATTTTTTAAGTTCATGTAGCATTGCTCTATTGAATAATTTAGATACAACGCTATCATTAATTATAAGATAATATAGGACGGCAAGGATTTTGACAAGAGAAGTCTGCCAATTAAGTGGAAGATAAAAGATTGACTAATTCTACATAAAAGATTGACTAATTCTACAATGTTGTTGTCTAGTACCGGAAGTTGCAGTGGAGTGAACAAGATTGTATTTGCCTCTCACCGGCAACATGGAAATTTCCAGCAGCCTCAATACAAAGGCGTCATCTAGTTTTTTTTCTCACTTCACTCGTCTCTCTCCTTGTCCTCCTCTATAAATACAGAACCAAAACATACCTCAGAAGAATGTGTGAATAATCAAGAGAGAGAAACACAGAGAGAGAGAGACATGGATGATAGGACCCCTGGTTTTAGGTTCTACCCAACAGAAGAAGAGTTAGTTTCATTCTATCTGCACAACAAGCTTGAAGGAACTAGACAAGACCTCGACCGGGCTATACCTATGGTTGACATTTATGAATACAATCCATGGGACCTCCCAAGTAAGTAAAATTCTCATATCTTGCCGTCTCATATACTTTCTTTTTGTTCTTTTTCTTTTTTTTTTCCTTCTGATAATACTTGAAAGAATTGTCAAATTTCTACAATTCAAGTAGTTTCTTTATAATGTTTAGCCTCTCTGTGGTGATAAGCTAGTGTCTAAATGCAGTTCTCTACTTGTCTTGGGTGAAGTTATAGCATGTTAGTCATATTAAATATGTTTTTCCATTGGAGGTTTCAAACTTAATCTCATAGGCTCGGCAATCGTGTTGAGTGAAACGGTTTCGTATCGGGTGGAACGGGTTTGTGTCAAAAAATTCTCTATCTATATTCTATTCATTTATATAAACGAGTTCAACTATCAGACTCGTAGACGAATTGTTTATTAGACGAGTTATTCAATACAACCCGTGTGTCATTCGTTAAATAAGAGAATAAGTTAGATAATTTTGAGTCCACATGAAAAATCATTAACTCGCCACACATTACATATGTTTGACTTGTTTACTATTACAATAAATCATGGCTGAGCAAAAACAAAAAAAATAAAAAATAAACATTAAATGACTACTAAATTTGAATAATTCTGAGAGATGGGAGATGTGAGATGAGACAAAGGCTAAGAGACTTAATTTGTTTTTTAAAAATTTATTGTACCACTATTAACGGGTTGAAATGAATTTATGGGTTAAATACAAAACCGGTTCATATATTTCACGAGTCTGTCAAGTGAATTCATTAATCACCCGAACACGTTAGAACTACACCTAAACACGCTAAATCCGTGTCAGATTCGTGTCGGTTTCACGAGTCGTGTGTAGAATTGTCAGGCCTAATCCTAAGTATTGTTTCTTAAATCCCTTATTTTCTTGCAGCAAATTGTGTCATCCTCACTGCTGTTCCATTGTCTTTACTCTTCAGAAGATAGCAGAAATATTTAAGATTTTAGTTTTCACTTTGTAGTTTGTTCATACTATTGTATGAACACCTTTATTTCCTCTCTCTCTCTCTCTCTATCCACCTTAATTATTTCAGAATTTGGTTTCTAAAATTGTTTATATAACCATTCCAAGCATTTTTGCTCCCTAGAGTTTGCAGGAGAGTTATGTCAAGGGGATCCTGAGCAGTGGTTTTTCTTCATTCCTAGGCAAGAGAGAGAAGCCCATGGAGCAAAACCTAACAGGCTCACGACTAAAGGATATTGGAAAGCCACTGGATCTCCAGGTTCTGTTTACTCGAATAACCGAATAATTGGAGTGAAGAGAACCATGGTTTTCTACAGGGGAAGAGCTCCCGGAGGAAGAAAGACTGAGTGGAAGATGAATGAGTACAAAGCCATTGCAGGAGAAGCTTCTTTGTCAGCAAGTGCAACTCCAAAGGTTTATATTATGTATATATGTGGGGATTGAGTTTTCTGTAAAAATTTAGGTGTTTTTAGGCCGCCCCCCTCCCCCCAAACAAAATCTACCTGAATTACAACATCATCTCCTCTTCTTCTTCTTCCATCATCTTTAGGTAGTCTGAACAGTTCCAAAGGATAGGATACATAACTTCAATGATTATAGTTATTACATCTATTGGCTGGTTTAAAGTTCCAAAGGATAGGATACATAACTTCAATGATTATAGTTGTTACATCTATTGGCTGGTTTAAACCCCGTAATTTTTTTAAAAGTAAATTAGGGCTACATTCAAGATTTTTAGTACTGTCACCATCATAATACTAAATAATTTTAGGGTCTCTAAGGGCCTTATTTGTGTGCGACAACATTGTTCTCGGGATACAACATAGCTCGGAGTTAACTTAAATTCCCACTAGTTCTGCATGCACGTATTGTTGAAGACCAAGTAACTTATGTCCCATATCTAGATGCCATAAATGATGATTCAATTATTAAAAACTCTAGTTTCATCTATTAGTTCATTTCATACTTATTGTCATGTTTTACTTGTATATGTGCATTGCACAAAGGTAAGTGCATGATCAAATGTATTTTGTAATTAGTTAATCAATTATCATTACATAATGGAAAACGCTATTTGGACCTAATGATGTACAACTATTGGATTGGTTGTGGACTCCATCTAATATTGGAACTCATAACTAATCTAATAATTACATTAAAATCACATCATTAGATCTCAAATAAGGTCCCCATAACATTGCTCTTACATAATTTGATATAATGATTAGTATGATCATTTTCAAGAATTTTTTATCCTGCAGTTAAGGCAAGAGTTCAATTTGTGTCGAATTTACTTAAAATCGACAATCTTGCGAGCATTTGACAGACGACCTTCAGGAGTGATGATGATTACGGGCGAAGCAATCGTTTGCCAACCTCATCAACTTAACGAGACAAGTACATCTCATCAAAGGCCTCCAATGACGGTGATCAGAACAAGTTCACCAAAAAACACATCCACAGGAGACAATGTCAATCCCCCTCCTCAAGTTGTGGAAAATGATATCTGGGACTTGGATGTGCCTGTTGATAATAATTTTTGGTTGGACTGGGGATGATTTGAATTGGTTTTAATGGAATTGGAACTATTTGAGAGGATTTGGAGCTCAAATCAGCAACCAACAATGGTGAAACTATATTTCAGCAAGTAGAAACTGCAAATTTCATTAATTAACTAAGACTTCATGCAACTTACTAACAGGAAGCGAATATAATATTGGGCATATTGCAGTCGTGGGGTTAAGCATTATTGAATCAGATGTAGTTCAGTTGATCCAGTCAACTACTTTGAATCAGGAGTCAACTGCACTGGATAAGGAAGAGCAACTTCAACTTAGGCCTGCTCAATTGTCTAACAAAAACTAGCTGTTATATTTGAAGACTCATTCCCTATAATAGATAAGAGTAAATATAGTAGATTAGTTAGATTACACTTCTATATAAAGTGTATATGTGGTGTACTTCAAGTTATGCAATGGAACAATAATTTTCAAATCATCTCTGCTTAGAATTCTTTACAAGCATGAAGTTTATATATATTAGCAAATCTAATTTATTCTATGTTAATGACTTTTTAAGTTTTGGTTCTTGTAATTGTCATTATGTACTTTTTTGGGGGATTGTGTTCTGTTAATTTGTTCATTCTCTTAACGAAAGGATAAATTTAAGTTCATCCCATTAGTTAGTTGCACTTCTCCTCCCTGACTCTTAGATATAACCACATAAACCCTAGTGTGATTTTAAACTCTTGTTCACTAAAACAAAACTTATATTCTTTTTTTTTTTAAATTATTTTTTGAAACAAAGTTACTTTTAATTAAAAATTAGACCCTCATCTAGTGTTTTAAAATTCGACCCGGTGCGACAGGTTGATCCAGTAAATCGGACCATAAATTGGATTGGTTATTACATTAGATCATTTGTGCACCAAAATTGCCCAAAACCCGCTGAATCAATCGATTTTTGTCCAAACCTTTAAATTTGACGGTTTTTAACAAACTAGGCGGATCCAATAAAAACCAGCTTTTTAGTGCATTTTGTCCTAATCCTTAATCTCACACTCTCCTCGTCTGACGACTCGAAGGCCGAAGCTCTTCCCTCGCTCTCTCTCTTTCTTTCTCTCCATTGATCGAAGTACAAACCGAAGACAAGAGTAAGGACAAAGGATTCCTGGACGACCACCGTCAGATCTTCAATGGCGATCTATTTCAGGCTTTTCAGCCTTCACTCACTCGGTCTGCATTGGGGACTTGCTTCATTGAAGATCTTTAGCTTTCATTGAAGATCTGTCATTTCCTTCCCTCACTTGACACAGCTGGTAAATCACTCTCTATCGTGCCTGTTTGTGATAGATCACATTATCAATTTCAGATTATGCAATTAGCCAATTTTTTGATAAATCTTGAAATTATTTGTTATTTTTTTTTTCAATTTTGTATGTGATGAAATTGTATATACTATAAGCAATGTTGATGAATCTTGAAATTATTTGCTAGTTAAATTGCATACATGTTTGATAATTTTTGGGGTTTTGTTTAGTGTAATATACATTAAACATACTATTTCCATAATTATTATGAATTTTCAGACTATTTATTACCATCAATATTTATTTTTTATGTTTTTATTATGTTATTGGTCTTACCAGTGACACAACGGTTGAACAATTGACCCATTTACTTGATTATCTTCCCGGTTTGATGTTTGGGCTGGATTTTAAAATTATGTCTCCATCACCCTCACTCTGAACACCCCCTAGGCAAATGCCATAGGAGCAAAACCTCCCCTTCCCCTTACCCCAAAAAAGCCTTCCCCCACCATGCAACATCTTTTTTCGCCATGGTAGAATCACATCCCACCTTAGCAAAATCTCATCCCTAAAACAACTGAATCAACAGCACCAGTATCACAACCTTCACCATCTACACCATTTTGACTCAAAATAGAATCACAATCTACATTGAAATTTGTATAACGAACTTATGTACCAATGTGAATCAAAACCAAGACTCAGAATCATGAGCACATATAGAAGAGGTTGAATAGAAAACTGCCACCGTTTCATCCACTGTACACCACTACCAACAATTTTCACACACAAGTTTGCCGACAAACAATTCTAATGAAGGCCTATAAACACTGTTGTCAGACAATCAAAAAGTTGCACATTTCACAAATTGCATTCTTGATCAGCTGTTGAGAGGGAGAAAAGTAGAGAATTGGGGGGTGTGAGACATGAAATGTGGGGGCAAAGTTGCTTAGGGCTTTCTACTCGTCTTTTGGGTGGCTAGTGAAGAATGTGGGGGCAATGGTAGGGGTGGCTGGTGGTGGCAATCGATGAAGTGTTCTGAAGAAGAAGGAAGTGGAGGGAGGGAGGGAGGGGGGACGGTTTTTAATATGTTCCAGAAGAATTACTTGAGTATTTTGAACTTCTACCATACGCCACTACGTCATGGTTATGTCGTGATATTTAAATGAGAGGAATATAGGAGGTGTAATGATCATTTACCATATAATTAGCTTATTATATGTTGCTAGGAATGTGCGTTTTAATGCCTTTTGTCATGAGCCTTCATATTCATATTCATATTGTCTGAAATTGACAATTTTTCAAAGTGATTAGGACCTTCGTCTTACGGGTTGAATCCACCAGCCGATATTGTAGATTGGATTCACACTAAAAGTCGGAATGGTCAATTTCTGCCCCACCCACGGACTGGGCTTTCTAGAATTAAAAACTAGAATATGGTAATTTATAAATAAAAAATTAATAAATTATGATATTTTTAAATTTATTTATAAAATTAAAATTATTTTTTTAACAATTTTGTTAAAAAAAGAGATGAATAACATGACCTTACAGTTGACAATGGCCCTGACATAACAAACACTCATAAAGATGAATTAGTACTAAAAAAAAATTCAGTATCAGATCTCTATTTATCATATTTATAGTTATTTTTATAATATTTATTGGTATTTTTACCACGATTGTGATTCCAAAAAAAATTATAAAAATAATTATCACAACAGTTATATAAATATTTACAAATATGGTAAAACACTCATAAATATGATAAATTATTCATAAAAGTTATAATTTTTTTTGTATAAAAACCAAGGGGTAAAATCATTCATAAAAATTGTAAGTCATCCACAAAAATGATAAATTTTTTTATTATAAAATTATCCACATAAATCATAAAAACATCTACTAAAATAGTAAAAGTTGTAAGTATGATACCAATTTTTTTGTTTTTTTGTTTTTTTTTTTTTTGGGGGGGGGGGGGGCACTCCACTCGAGTCCCATTACATAGACTTCTTATTTATGAAAGTAAATTGATGATGGAAGCCACACATAGGACCAACTGAGTTATTTACTTAAATGCAACACTTTTCAACAAATTTATCAAAATACGGCATTTTTTAACTTATTTAATAAATTATGATTTTTTTTTAAAAAAAACATAGTCAATAATCCTATTTTTGTTAAAAAAAAATAGATTTAATTATCCTATTTTTGTTAAAAATCGGGGTAACAACCTCGCTTTCAAATAAAAAAACGTGGTAAATACTTTAGCACTTTTTAGGAGCTTAAACCTGAAAAGTGGGATTACTGACCACGCTTTCTAAAAAGCGTGGTTAGTAACCACATTTTTCTCACATATTTTGCGTACAAATTGTGGGCTTGAACGTGAATGCTGAACTTTTCTCTTGCTTGGACTTGATATGGGTTTTGAAGAAACCTTCTCTCTCTTTCTCTCTCTCTCGGAACATCAATATATCAATTTCCTAGACTTGGAACATCCTCTCAACTCAAGGGCGTGAATGTCCGGAACCCACTCCTCCACATCTTCATGTGGTCTTGAACTTTCCAACTCCGATCACTTTCTCCATCGTCTCTTCAACTCCAAGTGGGGCAACAATTAAATTTGGAAAAGTTGTAAGGTCGGATGGATACGGACAATTGACTTTGGTCGTCATGTTCCGGGTTGAATTCACCGCCGTTATTGTAGATTGGATTCACACCATAAATTATGTGTATTTGAATGAAAAGGTCCTTTTAAATTGTAAATTTATAACCAAGTGCAGGTTAGAGATACTTAAATAATAATAATAAAAAGACAAGAAAAATGTAGTAGAAAAATAGGGCCATGACCAAATGCGTTATAATTTGATATAGAGAAATGTTATTTAGAACACCACCACTTCAAATCGTATTAAAATTAACTCAATACACTACAAGAATTAGGATCTTTTAAGATAAGTGTTTTTGCGGCAACAATGTTCACTATCACCAAAAAAAAGTGTATTTTGGAGGAAAACAAAGTTTTTTTTTTGGTAACGATAGTAGTGTCACAAAAAATTTATTTGTTGTTACAAATATTATTTGAAACAGGTTATTGACGTTACAATAGACTTTTTGAGACTCCACTTTTTACGATAAGGTATTGTGACGGTATGTTTTGCTATAATAGACGTAGTCTCAAAAAAAAATTGTGGCAACAACTGTGGTATGACTTTCACATGATAATAAATCTTAATGGGAAAATGCAAATATTTAAGATTTTTTTTTTTTTGGGTCAAGCATGCAAAGAAATTCACACACCACGTCAAACAGCTGAAGCATCTTATTGGAGGAGAGGGACCCACAAAGTCATACCAGGCAATTGCTGACCGGAGGAAGACAGAGCAGGCCACAAAGCCAATCCATCAAGATATTTAAGGTTTACTTTGGGTAAATAACACTTTATCGTTATGAACTATTCCTCTTGTTTTATTTTGTATCATCAACTATAAAATTTCTCACATTATATTGTAAAGTATCAATATATTTATTTTGGGTAAATTTCTTGTTTCGATCTGCTTTTTTCTTTCCTTTTTTGTTTTTTTGTTTTGTTCTTTTTTTTTTAATTGTTTCAGCATGCTTAGTTTTTTTTTCACTTTTTTTGTTTTTGGTGTTTTTTCTTGTTTTAGTTTTGCTTGGTACTTTTTTTTTCTTGTTTCTTAAATATATTTATATATTTAAATTAATTGTCTTCTTTCATTATTTTTTTTCTTAGGATGACTTCTTTCATTAAAAGGGATTACATACAATGAGTGAGTTTAATTATTAATAGGATGTATGTCACATAGGGTGAGTTTAGTTGCTAATAGGATAGGTATAGAAGAAGTGAGTTTAGTAGTTTGATAATGAGAAATTAAATGGGGTGAGAATAGAGATTTGGGAGGTAAGAATTGAAATTCAAATGTATATCATTCTTTGAATGAGCGTTGGACAAGTGGATTTCATTGAAAAAATTGATAGGACTCATTTATCTAAGGAATGTTATAAGGATCTTATTTGAGAACCTTATTTTGGTACTTATGCTCCGTTTGATATGATGAAAAAATGAAAGGATAGAAAATTAGAAGGATGGAATGTTTAAAGGATAAATAAAACATCATGTTTGGTAAGGAAAGAAAATAGAAATGATGAAAAAATGAATGGATTAATTTTCCTTCCAACTCACCAAAATC